TTTTTCCCACCTTGGCCCTCTTAAGGTTTTTTGACTTCAAACCCCAAAATTCCCCCAGCCACCGTGGTGGGGGAATTCTGGGAGTTGAAGTCCACACAGCTTAAAGCGGCCAAGGTTGAGAAACACTGCCCTAGACAAAGGACTGGGTTTGCCAATCACTGTGCTTCTGGATGATAGGAGAACTGAAGGCAGAGATATCAAAGGGGGATGGTAAAAAAAATGACAGCGTGATCGAAGCTCCGTCTGTTTTGCCTCAGTGCTCAGAGAGAGAGAAGCAGGTCTATGGAGCAGCTTTTGTCCTATCACATCTTGCCCAGCCATCCTAGGACTAAGGGAGTGACTGTGACAAGAAGCCACATAGGCAGCATGCAGAAACCTTGGAAGCCGTCTTCGGTCAGGCTATTTGTTGAACAGCCAAGCCCTGCCTTCGCCAACCTGGCGCCCTCCGGATGCGCCGGACTTGTCCTATCATCCCTTGCCCCCGACCACCCAAAAAGGGAGGGCACTTTGCCTGGCCCGGAGCAATACCGCGCAAGGGAAGGCTGCTCCCGGGTTTCTCCCACGGCCAAAGAGCACCGCAGAGAGGGGAAGGACCGAAGCCCAAGGCTCTGATCGCATGCTGGCGCTGCAATGGGGCAAGTGGCCGCGATCCCCTTCGCAGCGCTTCTCAGGGGAAAAGCGCGCAGGCCCGCAAGCCAGCGGTTGATCCCAGCGCTCTGGGTGGCGCTCGAATGGCTCACAGGCTTTGGCCACCATCCAGGCGCAACTGGAGGCCGTCCTTCCCTCTCCATGACTCAAAGCCATCAGGAAAGAAGAGGCAGAGAAAGGCTCGGCCTCGCAGGGAAAGAGCTCGAGGAAACAGCCGGGGCGGGGAATTGCCTTAGGGCTGAGCGCGTGCAGCTGTTCCAGGTAATCGGCGAGCGCGGCCCCTTTAAGCCTGGAAGGGCTCGCCTAGCTGCGCAGGCCGCGCCGCTATTGGGACGCGCCGCGGGGAGGCGGGCAAAGGAAGGAGGAAACGAGCGGCCGGGTTTGGCCGGGCGGCTTGGGGGGAGGCCTGGGTCCGGGGCTGCTCCCGACGTGAACCTCCCTCCTCGGGCGCGGCCTGAAATGCCTTAGCAGCCCTCTGCTCCCTCTCGGCAGGGACCCGGGGCCAGGCAGTGGCTTCCTTTCCGCCCGCTGCAGCCCGGCTTCGCGCCATGAACAGGGTCCAGCTGAAGCGATCTGCGATCCTGAAGATGGCCCTTGGAGGTGCGTCGGAGCCCCTGCTCCAGCAGCAAGAGGAGGAGGAAGAGGAAGATGGCGAGGAGGGCGGCGGCGGCGGCGGCGGCGGCAGCAGCAGCAGCGAGCCCCCGTTCCTCTTCAGGGCCATCCGGATCGCCATGGTGGTCTCTCTGTACTGGTTCGTCTCCATCACGATGGTCTTCCTCAACAAGTATCTGCTGAGCAGCCCTTCGCTGCGCCTGGAAGCGCCGGTCTTCATCACTTTCTACCAGTGCCTTGTCTCCGTCGTCATTTGCAAGCTGCTCAGCCTGCTGGCCTCCTGCTGCCCGCCGGGCTACTTGGACTTCCCCTCCATCCGGATGGACCTCAAGGTCTCCCGCAGCGTCCTGCCCCTCTCTCTGGTCTTCATTGGCATGATCACCTTCAACAACATGTGCCTCAAGTTCGTCGGCGTGGCCTTCTACAACGTGGGCCGCTCCCTCACCACCGTTTTCAACGTGCTCCTCTCTTACTTGCTCCTGAAGCAAACCACTTCCTTGTACGCCCTTCTCTCCTGCGGAATTATCATCGGTGAGTGGAGGCCTCCCAAAGGCCCTAGAAAAGCAATCCGATGGCCGCCACTTTGCCCAACTGCGTGCGTGTGGCTCTACCTCCTGTTATCTTCAACCAACCTCACCACTGCTTGGGAATGATGGAAGTTGAAGTCGTGCACCATCTTTTATGTCTGTTATGTGCAGAGGCTTATTTACTGGGGAATAAGTCTGTTGGAATTCAGTGCAGCTTACTCCCGAGAAAACAAGTGTCAAATTGCAGCATGGGGGCAGAAGACCCTTGAATGGTTTGGTTGCAGGATTTCAGTTCCACATTTAACAGCAGCAACTATAGAGAGGCTGCTAATATTCCAGAGCACATCTTATTTTTACTGGTTATCCTGATGCACAACTCAAAGCAGCCAGTAGATAACAGGCTGGGCTTCCTGTACCACCATTCTTGATTTAATAACTCTTCCTCTCCATTGCTCACAATCCTTCATATCTAAGTTTGCCAAAATCTACTCCAGGATGCCCACTCAAGAGACCGTTCCTTAGTATCCTTTAAGCGTAATGACATCCAGAGTGGCCTAAAAAAATAGTGCAATCCTATATCTTAGATCTTAGAAGTGATAGGGAAGTAAATACAGTAATGCAGCCTGAAAAAGTTACTGTTTCCTGTTGATGCAATATGCATACAATTCAGATCTCCACTGCTGATTGTGAGTGCAGGTGAATGGGGATGCCTCTTAATTAAGCAGGAAAAGAATGGAAAAGGCAAGGCTACACCTTTGATATATGACAATAAAGAAAAGAAAGAAGTGTTTGCATTCCCAGTTTATAGGACAAAAACTGAGGGTCAGAAAATCTTGTAAATCTTCTTTCTTACTCAGTAATACTTGGAATTAAGCTAATGTGACATTTTCTTGTTCCTTATAGATAATCAAGTGGAAGACCACTAACACAATAGAACTGATTTTCTTCTGCTAAATTTATTATTGTTTTGCTTTAGCTTGCTATTAATACACAATCCAGTGGTTTGTCCTAGAGAATATAAAGGTTCACTTTTGTAAAGGTATATACAGCTTTTATGTTTATAGTAACAAGCTTTAAAACTTACAGGCACTCTGATAGAAGATTAGGGAGTAAGGGGTCCTACTGAATAGTGATTCAATCTCAGCAGGTGACATCAACTTGGACACTGGTTAATATTTGGATGGGAGACTATCAAGAAATCCCAGGGTTGTAGACTAGGCTGGGAAATTTAAAAAAAAAAAAACTTCCAAGAAAGCAGTTGTAAACCAGTTCTGTACCGAGAAAACTACATAGTTGTGTGCACGTAATCCCCAAGAGTTGAGGTTTGCTTGCAAGTGTCTTTTAAGTTTCTTGACCTTTAATTCTGTCTCCAAATTCTTCTGCTTAACAATACCTATCTCTATACCAACACACCACCCATTCCGTTCTCTCTTACCTCTGCTATCCTACTGCTTATCAAGGTAGCATAAATCCATTTGTGCTCTGTGTGCCTTAAAACTATGTTACTGGTCTTACTGTTAAGTAAGTGGCATAGGTCTGGAGCCTTTATTTATGAGAATTACGTCTTCCAAAACATCTCACATGTTGCTAGTAAATAATTTGTGGGATTTCTAATTTATTATCTGTCAGGTTTGCAATTTTTTTCTTTGAGATCCCCAAGCAAAATGTATTCAATTTCGGTTTATAACGCAGCTATTTACCATAGGACATTCCTAGGAGCTAATAATAATAAAACTAATACAAAGGTGAAATTAACATAACTCAAAAGGGAGCAGAAAAGGCCTCTGGTAATGTGTCCAGGTTTTTCCTGGTAAATTTAATTCTAGGTAGTAGGTTCAGGATAGAGAAAGAACATTTACAGTGGATCCTTTTTTCCCTTGAACAGCTTACAAATTGGATGTCCCTGCTAAATCAATATATTAGGTGACATAACTAATTTCCCAGCTTGGGTTCAGGAGGGAGGGGGAGGAAGTCTAGAGAAAGAGGAATTGCAATGCTAATTTTTGTGTTTTAATTTTTTTTTTTTATCCGCCTTGACTATTGGAGTAGAAATGCAAGATAAAAAATTGAATAATAATAAAATACCCAATAAAACTGCCATGTCGACCTGGCTGGTGTGAGTTCACAAACTCTAGAACTGGCAGACAATCTTCCCCTTTAAGATTATTCTGCCAAGTAAAAGCCTTGCTTTCCTTTGTCTTTTACAGTATTTTTCAAACTTGGCAACTTGAAGATGTATGGACTTCAACTCCCAGAATTCCCTAGCCAGTGTGTTTGGCTGGGGAATTCTGGGAGTTGAAGTCCACACATCTTCAAGTTGCCAAGTTTGAAAAAAACTGGTCTATTATATCTGAAGTTTTAAGAATGTTCAAATTGTTTATTTTACATAGGTAATTATGAGGCTTGGCTCTTGCTTTTCCAGTCCAACCGTTATATCTTCCATCTCTTTTATGTTGCAGGTGGCTTTTGGCTTGGGATAGATCAAGAAGGAGCGGAAGGCACTCTGTCCTGGGCAGGCATCATTTTTGGGGTACTTGCCAGCCTCTGTGTCTCACTGAATGCTATTTACACTAAAAAAGTCCTCCCTGTTGTGGACAGCAGCATCTGGCGTCTGACATTCTACAACAATATCAATGCTTGTGTCCTGTTTTTGTTCCTCCTGTTGTTCACAAATGAGTTCTCCACACTCTACCACTTTGATAAATTGGGGAGCATCCACTTCTGGGGCATGATGACTCTAAGTGGGGTATTTGGTTTTGCTATAGGGTATGTGACTGGACTTCAGATCAAATATACCAGCCCCCTTACACACAATGTTTCTGGGACTGCAAAAGCCTGTGCCCAGACAGTGTTAGCTGTCTGCTATTATGAAGAAATCAAGAGCTTTTTATGGTGGACTAGTAACATGATGGTTCTAGGGGGCTCTTTTGCATATACCTGGGTAAAAGGGTTGGAGATGAAGAAGGTGCAGGTAGAACCTCTTCCCAAAGCAAATGAGAAAAATGACACTATGGTCTGAATTCCCCCATCCAGGAATGAAATGGAGCTTAACTGGGAAGAGAAAGAGAGAACTTAATGTCTCAAGGCAAGAGAATCCTGTGACTACTCATGTAGGAAATAAAAGACATGCTGAGGTTTCCCACGTACTGCATGTTTACTACAATAATCATTGGAAAGGGGAAAGGATGAAATTTTCACAAGTGGTTTTCTTTTGCAAACATCTTGCTTTACCTTTAGTAAAATAAGGTATATGTTCTGTTAAAAAACAGCTTTAAACAAGTAAGAATTGGTGGGTCCTTGCTCTACTTGCTTGAAGTTGAATACATTCTATGTAGATACTTTCTCTTCCTCTTTGTCTCCATACATCACACTTAGCAGTCCAGTGTGCTTCCTGGAGAGGCCTGAGAATGGTTCTCTTAGATTGCTTGCTCTCCTGCCTTTGTGGGGCAAACAAGAAATACAGATTTGCAACTTGCTTTGCTAAAAGGCAGTTTTGATGCCAGGATTCTCAAGCATTTCTGCCAGTGCTGCTGAGCCCATTATCATCCCTCTGGACAGCCTAACTGGAGAGGAAGTGAACTAAAGAAAATATGAAGGGGCATTGAAAGGTCCTGTGGTCTGGCTTCTTCTAGATCTAAATGTCTTTAGGTAATCAACTTTTCCCCAGCATTGTTGAAGAAATAGATGTCAGTGGTTGTTTAAGGACCCTTAAAAGGTTAAAATATCAGCATGTTCTTGCTCTTAAAGCAGTAGCATTTTGTGAGTGGGTGGATTTTTTGTTTTGGATATGCACTTTACTGAGAGGGCCTTCTTGGCTCCAGGAGCCAAATTTCATTGGAATGTTTAGTTCCATTTGCCAGGTTGCCTTTGCTAGTGCCCCCACCCTGTTCCCACTTCCCTAATTTTGTGCTGGGAAATACATTATCCATTGTAGATCTGCAGTTGACAAATATATTTAATACAATTTTGATTTGTTAGTTTCAAAATGATTATGTTTTGTTTGCACCAGTAGAAATGATTGGGGAGTGGAGCAGAGGGCATTGGTAGTTCTAGAAGAGGATGATTGTAGATTGCCTCCTGACTCACAGGCATAATACCTTATAACCAGCTCCAGAGGAAAAGCAGTAAAAGGCTGTTGGCCTTATAGCCTGCTTATAGATTTTCTGGACACATCCAGTTGGCCACTGTGCCACACAAACTCTAGACTAGATGGGCCTTCAGTTTGATTCAAAAAAGCTGCCCTTATTTTCTTAGCCTATGAAGAATTGGATAAACACAAAGGCAACCATAGCTACCTCAAAGCAGAAGATTCTTCCTGAAAGAGGGCTTAGTTTTTAAACCCTGCTTAATGGTACACTAGATTTTTATTTCAACTTGTCAGCGATTTGGAGTGCCAAGTCAATTTCATCTCGATATATGAGAATTGGTACCTGAGTGCCATTCTGTGACATCATCATCGTCATTATCAGCCCAAATCAAGCCACCGTAGGATGAAAGCCTCTTCAGCTGTTTTCCAACTGCTTTGATGTGCTGCAGGTCATTTCCAGTTAACACCCTTGAACCGATTACATCATCTGCCCAGCATTTCTTGAGGTGTTTTGTAGATGTTTTAAGGTCAGTTGATATCAGATCAAGAATTATTGCTGTCTAGTGTTGAACTGTTCATTGTGCAATATGGTGGAAAAACTGATGCACTTCCTAACCCAAATTAATTGAAGAGGTTAGGTTTCCACGCTTGTTTATTCTATATAAAGTGTTTATACACTCAGTCCCAAATTGTTGATTTAACCCAACTGTAACTGCTTTTGAATGTTATTTTCTTTGAGATAAAAGATTATATAAATAAAACCAGCAGGATGGAAAGTAAAGGAGCAGGATGGTAATCCTTTCAAAGCTGAATAACTGGTTCGATAAAAGATACAAGAGTACAAAATCTGACTTGCCTATTAAGAGTCTCCCTTTGGTTTCAAGTAAGCCAGACACATACAGGCACAAAATGCAGTCTTGCCACAGTAAAATGTGGGCAGGGGGCTTGTGGCTTTGAGTGCAACTTCATAATTAAAGCTGAAGTTGAAAGGATTTATTGAGCAAAGCAAAAGGATAACTTTAACCACAAAGTCTAACATGGACAATATTCACAGACGTGACAATATAACAAGGCATAGCAACAGTCAATAGAAGAGTGTAAATCAGTGTTTCTCAACCTTAACAACTTTAAGATGTGTGGACTTCAGCTCCCAGAATTCCAGAATGCTGGCTGGGGAATTTTGGGAGTTGAAGTCCACCCATCTTAAAGTTGTCAAGGTTGAGAAACACTGATGTAAACTCTGGACAAAATCTCATATCCCTGTGGCAACTCTCAGTCTCTCCACGTCATAGGCAATTACAGATGTTTCCAGATTATTCCAGCTGACATACAGCACATTTCCCAGGCAGGCCTATACTGAGGCTCTCCCCAAGCAGATTTCTAAAAGTTTATATAATATGCTGTTGCAATCCTAATTAAATGCATTTACTGTTTATGTTTTTGGCCTAGTAGTTTGTGTGGCAGTGCTAACTCCTCCACAGCCAGGTGGCTTGCCTTGGAGTGACAGATCAGCAGATAAGCTAGGCTGCATGAAAAACAAGCAAGGATGGGGAAGGGCAGAGGCCTGCTTGCTTTTTAAAAAGCTGAGGCCTTACCTTGCCATGCTATGCACAAAAATGCAGGAGAGGAGCCATTTTAAACAAGAAAACACAGAGGAAAATGGAGTTCACCACCTAAACTTCTTCCTTATGACAAATGTTGTCTTCCTAGTAACAATATCTAAATAGAGAGCAAGCAATCAGATTTCTATCCTTTGTTTCTCAACAGTATGTGCTGAATTAGGGCAACAGCACATTTTCTTGTAATACATGACAGGTAGCTCTGAGAGACTAAAATCTATGAGACAGACTCCCTAAAACCATTAAAACCTATTGCATTTTGAGACTTGCCCAGTATAATTCTGTCTATACTTAAGAAAGCATACCTATTTTACCTAATAGGTGTTCCTCTCTGGAAAATGTGTAATCAGCCTGCCACAGCCTGATGCCTTCAAATGAATTTAGACTGCAACTTCCAGAAGTCCACTGGTTGTGCATTCTGTGAGTTGTGGGTTCAAGGGATCTAGGGATTTCCTTCATAAACAGCAGTTGGAACTCTATATGTGTTCAATATTTTTATTACGGGCTTCCTGAATTTGTTTCAAACAATGTAAAGTGACTGGGTTTACATCTTACATTAAGCTCTGCTGTGGTTTTGTTTGATTTTGGCTAAGCATGCTGTGTGAACCAAGCCACTGTGTTATATAAACCACACCTTATATTTTAATACAAAATATTATATAAATCAAACCAGCTATGATTTATTTAGTAGACAATCAATCACTTAGATGAGTTCCTGTAATTTGAGAGTAAACCTATGGAAGCTGTGGGTTCTCCATCTCTGGAGGTTTTTAAGAACCCCCATCGATGGTCTAGTTGGTTTTCCTGCACATTGCAGATAGTTGATCTAGATCAGTGTTTCTCAACCTTGGCAGATTCTGCACTGGCTGGAGAATTCCAGGAGTTGAAGTCTACACATCTTAAAGTTGCTGAGGTTAAGAAATACTGATCTAGATTATCCTTGTGATCCCTTCCAACTCTATGATTCTATGACTTAAAGGTTAAAAAGCAAATAATAATGCTAGTAAAGCTTTTATACAATGTATGCTTTCAGCCTGTTTCACCTTTGTAGGGCTATCCATAAATTAATACCGTCGTTGTGGCATACTTATAGTTTGACTTTTAGTAGGTTACTTCTCATTTATTACCAAATTCATCCAAAGAAACAGCATTTAATATTTTATAATTTCACAGTAACATACCAGAATCTGTACTTAGCAGAATATATTCCCATCTCACTCTTACACACAAAGACTGTTCTCCTGGCACCCTAAACCACAAATGAGCCTTTCACATTTTAGCCTGGCAATCCAGAAAATTGAATTGAATAGACCATGGTTGATGAGTATATCATGTAAATAGAGCCCCACTATTCTCTATGCATGCATACCATGCTTCATGTGATATGCCTGGCATTGTTTGGATTCTACTGTGGTAAACCTTTATTCACCCTTTTGTGACAAGCATGTTGGAGAAACTTTCTGCAAAGTCTGTGTACCAAGAGAAAACATTGTCTCTCAAGTTGGGGTGTGTCTTTGTAAGACACTTTGTACAGAGTTAGGCCCTGGCTCATTCAAGTAGCTTTGCGCACATCAACTGCATGAAAAGTTTGATGGCAAGAGCAGAACGCTTTATTTCAAAATGCACACATCACCATCTTGGACTATCAAAAGCAACAATGCTGTTATTAACAAGCTTTGAAGATGCTGTGAAAAGGAGGGTTTCAAGAAGAGGATATATTATTGCTACTGACTTTGCCAAATGAAAAAGCTTACCAAAGGGACCAACTGGACAGTAACTTGCAAATAAAACTTAAGACTCCACATAAAGTCAAAAACTCAGAGCAGGAAAAACTTCAATATGAATTAAGAAGTTGGGCTAATCCAGGAAGCCAGCAATCAAAGCAAGATTATGTAAGGCTGACTGCACTATTAAATAACACCATTACCTAACAGAGCAATTGCCAAAGTTGGTGAGTGAAACCCCTTACCTGAGCCCCTGCACCTGTTCTACTCATTCTTCCATGCCAGCATCCATTTCTGGATAATACTGGTGGTTGTTGGCTGGAATCTTGCTTAGCTCACTCCTCCCAACTTGAGACAGACTAGAACAGTGTTGTCCAAACCTGGCCACTTTAAGATGAGTGGACTTCAACTCCCAGAATTCCCCAGCCAGCATGGAAGCCCACTCATCTTAAAGTGGCCAAGTTTGGACAACACTGGACTAGAAGAAGCCTTTGACTGAGCAAGCAGGAGATGAATCTGTTCTTCACACCCCCACTGTCTCTTGCCTACTTATCGAGAACTCAACAAACACTCTAACGTAAGCAGAGCAATGCATGCACACACACAGCCTGAAGAATATGTGTGTGCGTGCATTGCTCTGCTTACATTAGAGTGTTTGTTGAGTTCTTGATAAGTAGGCAAGAGACAGGGTATGAAGAATAGATCACAACTAGGTATTGGAAGACAAAGATGTGTATGCCTGCTCTTCCCCCTCCAGAAAGTCTATTGCTTTCAGAAACAGTAAAGGATGTTGTCTTTGTGCTTTCTTGCACTGCAGAAAAGCAGCTTAAGGGGCTTGTCTCCCATGCATACCTTGGCTGGAAATGAAGCTGGCTTAAGAAATCCCTTTCCAGATTCAATTCCTTCCTCTGCTTTATCCACAGGGTGGCCTGATGTCATTCTGGACTATGTTTACTACAAGCCTTGACTGATGGATTCCCAGACTTTTTTCACCTCCCCTGGACTGGGAAGGAAGGAAAGAAAGAAACCAACCATCATACAGGTCCATTTTCCACTGTTCCATCAGTGAACATATAAAAAAAAAAAGTTCCACCTTTCACCATCGCCTTACCAGTGAGCTGGGGGCAAGTGGAAGATGACATTATGCAATCCTCAGGAAAACATCAGTGGCCCATATTTGCACCAGACCAAGCTGATCCTGTAGATTAGCTCCTTGTTACTAGAGCTACGATAAGGTTTGTATGGCATATATGGAAAGAAACGGCATTTTCACAGTGATATTTTTAGGCCTATAGTTACTACAATTTTTGAAGTAAGGAATGAATGACCTTTTTGTCTTGGAAGAGTTCTTGTACTCTTAAACAAATATTTGACCAGTATGCAGTTTGAATTGCAAGGATGATGCCAGAATAGGTTAGTGTCCCTTTAGTTTATGGGAAGGTGTCCTCTTCCTGCTCTTTTGAATATTGTCCTTTCATTTCTTCTGTTTGTTATTGTGTTGGGAGGAAAAGCTGCTAATATCACCATCATCAAATGAAAGACTTAAGTAACCTGCAGGTTTGCTAGTAAATCATACAGGCGGAACAGTGCAGATGACTCTGGGTCCAATTTCCTTGCATGGTATTCCTTAGCCTCTGCATAAATAGTCCACATAATTCAGACAACCTGTGCCATAAGGAGAAAACAGAAGGAAGAGGAGGCAGTGCATTAGACAGACAACTTTTTGAGGATCATGTCATTACACTCTCCCCTAAACAACTGGAGGGATGCATATAATATGTAATGAAGCATGCTGTATTGCCCATGGATGTGGTAGACTGAGCTCCAGGTTCACATGAAAGGGTCCTCCACCCAGAACTTTCCTAACCCTCCTAGTCTCCTGGAGAGAACCTGCTTGATATGCTGCCACCATTCACTTTATTCCACTCTCCTTTGGTTTAATTTGTGCAGAGTAAATTGCCTTTTGCCTTTGGCTCCTTTGACTTTTCTCAGTAGTCAGCTTAACAGGGAGCATCTAAAGTGTGATGTAGAAGTTAAGGTGTTAGACTAGGAGTGTGGAAATTCACATTCTAGACCATTCTCAGCAATGGAAAGTCACTGTTTGATTTTAAGCCAGTCATTTTCAGCCCTCACAGGGTTTTGCTGGGGGAGAGGAGAAAAATATGCTATATTCATCACCTTGAACTCCTGAAGGAAAGGCAAAATATAAATCAAATCAATAGCCCTCAGAATGAATGGGTTGAATCATAAAGTGTGTGTGTGTGTGTAAAGATTCCAGAGTTTCTCTTGTCCAACAGGGACTAACAATCATCAATACTAGAACTGTAGGGGGAAGGACGAAGCGAAACACAACTAGAAGACACTGTAGGAGACAAGGGAACCCTTCTCAACAATAGAGCCCGTAACATTTCATATATGCGTAGTATTATTATGAGGTCCAGTTTTTCCAACCAAATTATCATCTTATTTATCAGGAAGTAAACAACTCACAGATTTTGTTGAGATGTGAATTATGTTAAGTTTCCTATTTCGGTGCCCTCCAAATGTGTTGAACTACAGGGCAGGTTTATAGTAAACCCATTTCCTCTTGCCTTTTCTGAACATTGCTCTTAAGACACCCTCATCTGTCAGCATAAGGTACTGATCACAATAAGACGACAGGATGTTATGATGGCCATAACTAGCATTTTGAAGATTACATAAATGTATGACAGGCTGTAGGTAATATCTGGAAGTATGACCTTAA